GACCGGCCATAAGTCACTTTTTCAGTGCGGTTGTAACTTTGAACGTCCACAGGTCTTAAAGTTGACAAGGATAGACACCTCTGGATTAGAACTAGGGACCGCAGGCTTATTGTGCTTCACAAGTGGCGGCTGCAGGGATACAGTGGGAGATGGACCCTTACATAGGGGGCAAACTCCCACCCAACGATACTGCGCCGAGGGGGCTTGCAGGTCCAGTCTGTTTGGCTCTGCCTCGATAGCTTCAGCTGCACGTGTCAAAGCGACGTTTGTTCCTCTGCAGCTGGGAGATGCTGGGTGACAATCGCCCCTCTGTGCTCCTCTGGTGTGGATGGCAAAGATTCCCTAGGGCCCGGGTGCCTGGCGTAAGCAGGGCAAAATGGGGAGAGGGGGGCCAGCCTGAGAAAAGTAGTGGGCCTCCCGTTGAAAAGAACAGCTCCCCTCCATTCACGTGTGGCCTTACTCCAAGGAGACCCACCTCAGCCCTAATAGCCAGACACCTTCAAGACCTAATTTGGAGAGAGGTCACGTTGGCAGACGACCAGGTGGGGAAGGCACCTGCATGAGCGAGTTGCCTTTTTTTTCAGAGAGTCTGCCAGGAAAGGGTGAACAGAGGCAGTAAACTGGCACTCTGTGAATTTAAGGACAGGCTTTGCCTGCCCAGATTAAAATTTTAAACCGTTTTTTTTTTTATTATGATTTCTGCCAGCACCATCGAAGGGACTGGGTTGTGAAATATTGGTATACTGTACTCTCACCAAACAAGAGATAAAGATAAAAAGGACGTCTGTTTGGGGGCCAAAGGCATAAAAGAAGAGAAATAGTTATGTAAATAAACTTTCCTTGGCAAGTTAAATATAGCACTGGCTTCACTTTTCCTGCAGAATGAATTGTATTAGTCACAGGGGCAGGACGCCCATCTGCTCCCCGTTCAGTTGTTTGGTTCGGCCACTGTGGGATGCCAGGTTTCCCCCTCCCCAAGAGTCTGGCACTATTGGAGAAAAAGCATTTGCTTTCCCCCTTACACGTTTCACGTGTAAGTGAAGAGCTGGGTGTACAAAGCCAAAATGCCCCTAAATTTCTTCTCTCCTTGATCTGCACCAATATGGTTGCAGCCGCACTCGTGGCTTTCTTTCCAGCCTTTCGCTTGGCATCCTGCACCACCTTGTGGGTTAAGAGAAGAATGCAAAAATGGAAGACGGATGGGCCGTTCGGTTCCAGACTTCAAGAAAGAGAAACTGCTTTGGTGCTCGTTGCAAAATCAGGAGGGCTAGGAAGTTTTTATTTGACACGGCAGAGAAATTACAGAAAGCGAAACTTCAACTGGCAGGCCAAGAGAAGGATTCAGAAGGACACTTTACTAGATATATATAAGGAAACTGGCTGAAGTTTTAAATCTTAAAAGGGGGAATATGATAAGCCAAGAGGATGACCCTGGAAAATGTTCTTCTAGTCCAGTGGTTCTCAACCTGTGGGTCGGGACCCCATTTGGGGTCGATCGACCATTTCACGGGGGTCACCAAGCAAGGCTGTCCGCCATTTTTTTTGTCCGCCATTTTTTTCCCCCTTTTCCGGCGGGTGCCTTACCTCCCTTGGGCTGGGCCAGCTGGTGGTCGGCCTGCTCTGTCTCTGCCGCTTGCCAGCTACGCCTCGGCCGGCGCAGGGGGCGGAACCACGTATGCGCGGCGCTCCCGGGCAGGGAAAGTCCGCGACTTACGACCGGTTGGGTAGTCCTCGACTTACGACCGGTTGGGTAGTCCTCGACTTACGACCGGTTTAGTCCTCGACTTACGACCGGTTGGGGTCGCGGCATTAAAAAGGTTGAGAACCACTGTTCTAGTCGGATCTACAAAGAGGCTTGTTATAAACCTTGAAGAGATCTATGCTTCTCCAAGAAAAAAAAAGAGAGAAATCAAGTCCTAGAAGAATATTTGATTGAATTAAAGAATGAGAACTGTTAGAAGTAAAAGGAAGGAGTATAAAATTGGCTTACTTGATCAAGATTAAAAGAAAACATTTTTTGTAGGATGTTTTGGAAACCCTTTACGGACTTTTTGCTGACTCCAGGATTGAAAACTTGTTTTACAGATTCGCTTGTAGATGAGGGACAGGATATGGGATGAAGCGATATCTGTTTAACCTTACAGGAGGTAAAGAGTTATTAAATTTGTTTATACTTCTTGTGATGAAGGTTGGAAGTCACTTCCTTATATATATTTCTTTTCCTTTATCATACTCTTTTTTCCACTTTTCATTCTTTCTTTCCATTCTCCTTTTCGCAGTTTGTATTACTTTTTACTATTGTAATTAAGGATTATAGTTAATAATAGGAAACACATCTAAACCTTTCAAGGCATAAACAAGGCATAAACTAGCACTGCACAAAGTTTAAAGAAAAAAACAACACACTGATCCAAACCCCGAACTCAATCAAGTGGTGCTTTTCAGCTTTTATTTAGTTAAATGCAGCATTCTATACAAGAAAAAAAAAATTCAAACCCTTGACAGGGAACTGTATTTCTTCCTAAATCAACCCGAATTAAAAGATTTCTCCCCATATACACTGTACGGAAAATAATCTCTCCCCCCCCACCCCATTTACAGCGTGCCACTCAGTACAGTTATTTTATGTATCCCAAACTTCAGAACTGTACAATTTGTTTACAAATCACACTTTTTCCTATGAAAAATTACCGAAAAAAATATTGCCACTTATTTTATTTGTAACAAAACAATTAGATTTTTTTTTATTTATTTAAAAAACACAAAAAGTCAGCCAGAACGTTATTTTAAAGTGTGTGCTTGGAAGGAAATGGGTGGTGCAAGGAGAGAAAACCCAGGTGCATTTTAAAGCAAATAAAAACTCTTGCCTCCTGATGCAGATTCTTCAACACCCCTGGGAAAAGCTGAGCCAGCTCATCTGCTGGAAGAGAGACCCCAGTTGTGCCAATTCCAGGTTTCAGAACAATTTGGGTCTGATTGATAGGCTAAGCAAGACCCCTCTTAAACCTCACACTAACAGCACTGAAACAAGGATTTCGGTTCTCCTTCGAAGGTCTTCCAAACTCACACAATGGAGTGTTCCCTTAAACCATCAGCCTGCCTCTTACAACCAAGTCCACCAACAAAGGGGGGGGGAGAACTATAGGGACAGGAAAGAGCATTTGTAGAGACCCTCTCCTGTTCAACTCTCTGCATGCTGTTCCAAGAATACCAAGCCTTGGGGGACGCAGATGTCGGACACTCCGGTGTTGGTGCAGTTCCCGGAGAGATGCAACCAGCACTGAAACAGGTGCAAGAACCAGATAAGGCCACGGATCTATCACAGTCCCCCAGATGCTTGGAAAAGCAGCCTACGCATTTTCTTTCCCTCCTGGCAGGAAAGGCTTCAGGGGGAGGCAGAAATAAATAAAATAAAATCGAATAAAAATAAAGCAGCAGGCTAGCTGACAGGCTCCTTCTGCTTTCTCAGCAAAGGCTGGCACCAGCTGACCTTGCCCTGGCTGTGAGAAACTCTCCAGCCAAACACTAAAAACTAAAAACGGGACACAGGTGCAGCCAACCTTCCCACCAAGCAAGCCATCCCCAGATGGAAGGAAAAACTCAGGAGAGATTTTGCTTTTGCTCAAGGTCCTGGGATTCCCTGCTGCACAAAGACACACAACGGCCACTTTTGTTAAAGCCCCCGTGGGAGGTTCAAAACACCGGAAGGCCGAACTGCCCGTCTTGGCTTAGTCAAAACTCCAAACTGGCCACTCTCTGCAAACAGCAAAGCAGAAACAGCCGAACGTATTCCGAGATACCAAATCCTACACCGGCTATAAGCTGCTGATCGGGCTATTTCAGGACCTGCCAGCGATGTCAGGACAATGCTCTCAACCACGGCCACTTGAGGTTGTGTGGACTTCAACTCCCAGAATTCCTCAGCCAGCCAGAATTTGGGGAGTTGAAGTCCACGCATCTTCATGCAGCCGAGGTTGAGAAGCACCGTTAGGTGTTCTGCTTCACACACGCAAAAGTCCTAAACTGGGTAAGATTGGACACCCCTGACTTAACAGGGCCAAGAGCTGAGAATGGCTCCCCCCAACAGCCTCCCTGCCTCCGAAATATCCATGCTTTGTAATACCTGGCCCTCTGGCTTTGAGGACCGAGGACAGGCTAAGGTTGACCTTCAGGCATTGGAAACAACAGCCAATATGAATACAATTCTTTGCTAAATATGGGCACGAAGGCAGGGAAGAGACAAACACCACCACCCCCCCAACTCAATAGATCGTTCTCCTAGGCTCAATGCACAAAGGTCTCCGGAGCATCCTCCGCCGGGGACAGTTCTGCACAGCAGCCCCTCTTCTCTCCCAGGCTGGCATCGCAGCCCCCACGTTGCCTGCCTCCCGTGCTGTTAGTGTGAAGACTTCAGCAGAACCTGGGGTTTCTGGCCCAGCGCCCCCCACCTCCCTTACAGAGCCCTCCAGCAGCAACCCTGAGGTGGGGCTGCTGAACCTCCTTCACAGAAAGAAAACAGACGAAACTCTTTAACAGCAGCAGCAGCAGCGCAGGAAAAGACGGGTGCTTGCCAGCCCAAGCAAGGAGGGGACAAGGGAGGGGGAAATGTTATGGCATCAAACAGGACACAC